CAGTGGTCTGGTTGCACTTAGTTTGTGAAAACGGATCCAAAAATGTGCTCTGAGCAAGACTTGCTTGGCTATGCTTATTTCTGCCTTACAGTTTGTATAGATTGTTGAGAATCGGAACCACTCATGTTATTCATCGTTTTGGGTTTTCTGTAGCCAATACTTTTTGTTTGTTTCAACAAGTAGAAATGGTCCACTTGAGGCCCGGGCTTGTATTTTGTTCTTTGCCAGACCTCTAGTGTCTGTCTAGGACCCAGGCCTACATTTGGTCCTTCATATTTATTAAGTGAATAAATGAAAGAAGGAAGGTTTCATGGTTATCCTGTGAGAAGCAGCAATCACTCAGTTCTCACACTCCGCGAGCTCAGATAGAAAATATTCTTTCTCTATGATTGGAGTTCCCTGAAGCCTGCTGAGAAATTGGGGCTGAAAAAAAAAATGTACATTTGGGGATCATCCTCATAAGAACTGTGAGAATCAGGCGCAGGGAATTCCAGGAGTCTACGCAAAAGAGAGTCAGGATTGATGGGAAGTGAAAGGATGAGACAGAAGGACCCTGGAGAGCAGGATTTGGAATCGGGAGAGTGAGTGGGGAAGTAGGCAGGATTGCAGATGGAAAGAAATGGAAAGGGACCTTTGGATTTGGCGTGAAGTCAAGCAAATGTCATATGAGCATGAGTGCATGGTCTGAAATAAAGCGGGGAATTGCATTGTCCTTGTTTCATCACCCTCCATCACTAATGATTCCAGTCAGGAGTGATTTTTCTTTTCTTTAAGCTAAGATGGAATAGTACTGAATTTCTCTTGTGCATAGCCTAGTATCCATAGGACATTGTTTGTACCAAAACTGTTCATTTTGCAATTTCATGCAAGCTGATTCCTTATGACCAAGGTAATATTTTGCCATTGCTCCTATTAGACGTAATGATGTTTGATGTATATCATTATTTTAGGGAGTCGCAAAAAAAAAAAAGCAGTTTGAGAACAGAAAGTGAACTTGAACACTTATGTGAAAAAAATCTAGACCCTTCACATTATTTTGGGAGAGTTACTTTGGAAATTTTATTAAGTTCTCTTCATGCTATAAGAACTGTAAAAATACCCCCTGGAAATACAGAAACACATACGCCTGTGCATTTGTGTATACTTCTGCACTTGGTGTATGTATACTTTGTGGGGCATTTCCTTGTGTTATTTTGCGAAGTACATTAGAGGCCTCATTAGGATGCTTCTCTAGGCAAAGGAATTTACACGTAATTGTGATGACCTGGCAGGAATGAAAAAGTAGCCCCCAGCTTTGTTCTAGAAATATTAGCCCTTCTGGGAAGAAGGTATTATCTTCCCTAATTTGAGGTGAAGACATGAGAGATGGGAGAGTTCAAGTCATTAGCCCTGGGCCTCAAGGCCTAGAAGATAGGTGAATCCCACCCTTTTTGCATGCTGGGACTCACATGCTCTGCTGCGTGCAGTATGAGGGACACTCTTGAGTATATCTGCGTGAGACCCCTCTTTGGGGGCAGGAAGCAGAGAAACAGAACCACCACGGAAGAGGTTTTCCTCATCCTGTCTCCTGTGTGTATTTCTGCATCTGTATCCTGCATTCTCCTCCTTTCTTCCTATGAGGCCTCGTGGACTTGATTCCCGTTGTTCGTCCTCTGTGTCTTCGGTTCTCCCTCTCTTTCTCTCTTCCCCTGTTTCTCCTCCTAAGCAAAGCCTAGTTTCCTAAGAGAGAAAAGAGCTGATTCCATTCGAGTTAGTGTTTGCTGTGCAATGCACCCCTCTGAACCATGGCAAAGTGAGCCTCATTTATTTATTTATTTATTTATTTGCATTTTTGGGTCACACATGGTGATGCTCAGGGGTTACCCCTGGCTCATGCACTCAGGAATTAGTCCTGGCAGTGCTCGGGGTATGTGGGATGCTGGGAGTCAAACCGGGGTTGGCTGCGTGCAAGGCAAACACCCTCCCGACCGTGCTATTGCTCTAGCCCCAAGCCTCATTTATTTCGCTTGTTGTTTCTCAGCCATTTTCTGACCTTGTTTCTTTATTGTGTTCCCTTTGCCCTACTAGTTGACCCTTGAGTCTCTGGCCATGGTCTACCCATTTGTATGATTCTCATTTGTGGCTCCCTTGGGACCTGCGGGGTCATTTGTTGCCCAGTTGAGAGAGAAATGCTGATTTAACTTATGCTGGAGACTCAGGTGGCCTCACTCAGGCATCTGTGATCCGCTGCAAGTCAGCTGCACAGCTTTGCTTTCGGGACATTGGCTGTCTGGTGGCTAATGCCAGTGAGAGGACAAGCTAATCGTCCTCATCCTCCCCCTACTGCCCTCCCCCCCCCCCCCACCCCCATGGCAGGCACATTCCCTTTTACTCTCTCCTTTTAGGTGTTCTGGTTTGCAATACAGGTAGTAAGTGACCATCATGTTTGGTCCATAATCTGTTTTCAGCACGCATCTCCCATCCTGAGCCAGCCCGCCAGCCCTCCAAGCATCATTCACTTAGTGGTCCCTTCTCTAGCCCAGCTGCTTTTCCCCCCAGCATGTGAGGCCGACTTCCAAGCCATGGAGCGATCCTCCTGGCCCTTATCTCTATTATCCTTGGATGTTAGTCTCCCATTCTGTTACTTTATATTCTACAATTGTAGCTCACATTTTAAATATAAGGTTTTTAAGGGGCTGCAGAAATAGCATAGGGATGAAGATGCATGTCTTGTAGGTAGCAGCCGATGGTTCAATCCCTGATACTACAGCTGAGTGTGACTAGGTGCAACCCTGAAAGCCCCAGGCATCACTTGGGGTGACCTGGATAGTCTCAGGCCTTGAGCAGCATCGAGTTCCTGGTCCTCACATCGAACCCCTGGCTGAGAGTTGCCAGGTGAGGGCCAGGAAGGGAGGAGTCCTACCTCCTGATCTTCCTTTGGGAAACCTCCCACCTCATCCCTATAAAAAATAAGAAATCCATAAAGGTCCTGGGGTGTTTGTGGAACTATGTGCAGTGCTGAGGTGTATTGTCTCAGTTGAAATCTGGTAATGTGGAAGAGCAGATAATATATATTGCAGTTTAAAACTTGCATGTTGACCTTTAAAAACTTAGGAGAAGATGCTCACAAATTGATGATCTTGTTGAAAATGAAGGGGATGGGCTTCTGGGGTATGGCTCCACGGAAGGTAGAGCACTGGCTTAGCGTGCATGAGGCCTCAGATTCAATTCCCAACAGTGCCAGAACGATAAGACAGGACAAGACCGGAAATGGAGGGTGGTAAATACATTTCAGCCATCATTCTGAGCAGAAATTGGTGTATTTTTTAGCACTGCACTGTAGCACTGTCCTCCCATTGTTCATCGATTTGCTCAAGCGGGCTCAGTAACGTCTCCATTGTGAGACTTGTTGTTACTGTGTCTGGCATATTGAATACATCACGGGTAGCTTGCCAGGCTTTGCTGTGCAGGCGAGATACTCTCAGTAGCTTGCCGGGCTCTCCGAGAGGGGCGGAGGAATCGAACTCGGGTTGGCCAGGTTGGCCGCGTGCAAGGCAAACGCCCTACTGCTGTGCTATTGCTCCAGCCCATGTATTTTTTAAATTAAAAAAAACTTATTTTAAATGAGATTACACATTTATTTATATGGAATGCAAGCCAATTTGTTTTTGTTTTTGAGTCCAGACCTGGTGGTACTCAGAGTTTACTAGTGGTTTTGTTCTCAGGGTGGGACTTAGGGGACCCTATGGGGTGCTGGAATTGAACCTAGGTTTGCTCATGCAAGTACTCCACACCCCCGACTCTATCCCACTGGACCCATTCAACTTAGTGTTGCCAGGCCTGACTGCTAAAGTGTCAGCCTGGTTGACTGTCACTCAGAGTGGCCCCTGGGGCTCCTGATCATTGTTTGGGAGAACCCTTCCCCCAGTCCCTGCCAGAAAAAAGGATAAAATATTCCCAAGCATACCTATCCATTGAAGTAGTCCGTTGGCATGACATTTTTGTTACAGAATATAACGTGGAGAAGAGCGTCAGCCAGGGTCTGGGATGTTACTCTGGAAGATGCTGTGAATGTGTCTGTGAGATGGAAGGCGGTTAGGAATATGAAAGGAAATCCTCTCTTTTTTTTTCCTGTAATAATCATTATTTATTTATTTATTTATTTTTTTGTTAGTGAAACACCACGAGGTACAGTTATACACTTACAAATTTTTGTGCTTGGGTTTCAGTTATACAATGATCAAGTACCCATCCCTCCACCAGCGCCCATCCTCCACCACCACAGGTCCCAGCATCCCTCCCACCCTCCATCCCCTCCTTCCCACCCTGCCTCTGTGGCAGGGCATTCTCCCTTGTTCTCTCTCTCTCCTTTTAGGTCCTGTGGTTTGCAAGAGCGGCATTGAGTGGTAATCATGTTTGGTCTATAGTCTACTTCTCCCACCCTGGGTGGATCCTCCCAACACCCTTTATTTGGTGCTCTCTTCTCTATCTGAGCTTCCTTTTCCCCTAGCACGCGTGGCTGGCCTCCATGTCATGGAGCAAAATTCCTGGTACTAATCTCGGCCACTCCTGGGTGTTAGTGTCTGTCCCATTTTGTTGCTTTATGTTCCCCAGATGAATGCAATCTTTCTGTGTCTATCCCACTCTTTCTGACTCATTTCGCTAAACATGATACTTTCCATGTAGTACTTGTATGTAAATTTGAAATCTTCTCTTTTTAAGTCAGAGTATTCATTTCTATTTTTTGGTGGTGGGGGAGATGGTAGCAGAGGGATTTGGACCATAACCCAGTAGCACCCAGGGACTATTCCTGGGTCTCTCTGCTCAGGAATTGCACCTGGTGGTGCTGGTGGGGGGCGGGATGGGGAGGAGGGATCCGGATGGGTTGGCCTCAAGTCCTGCATGTGCCCGACCCCCCATATTGTCTCCCCAGACCCAGCGTTCATTCTGAATAGGTGGGTTTTCATCCTACTTGGTGTTTTCCGTTTCAGGTTCAGCCAGCAGCCAACCTTCCCAGCGTCCCGAAACCCGAGCCCGGCACCTGGGTGATCCCTCACCATGCAGCGGAGATCCAGAGGGGTCAACACCGGGCTGCTTCTGCTCCTCTCCCAGATCTTACATGTCGGGATCAACAATATCCCACCTGTTACCCTGGCAACCTTGGCTCTCAACATCTGGCTCTTCCTGAGTCCGCTGAAGCCCCTGTACAGCTCCTGCCTGAGCGTGGAGCAGTGCTACCAGCACAAAGACTGGCAGCGCTTGCTGCTCTCGCCCCTGCACCACGCCGACGACTGGCACCTGTACTTCAACATGGCATCCATGCTGTGGAAAGGCATCAGCCTGGAAAAGAGACTGGGCAGCCGATGGTTTGCCTACGTCCTCGCCACCTTCTCCGTGCTCACGGGGCTGGTGTACCTGGTGTTGGAATTTGCTCTCGCGGAGCTTATGGACGAGCCCGACTTCAGAAGGAACTGTGCCGTGGGCTTCTCAGGTGAGGCCCCTCATGGCCCCGGGGGCGTGCCAGTGCAGACAGCTGCCCTTCCATGCCAACAGTCCTGCTTCCTGGCCGGCGAGGGGACAGAGTTCTGATTTGTTACGGGCTGCTGGGGGCTTGGATTGCAGAGAAGCTGATTTTGGAGAGGAGCCCAGACGGGACACAGGTTTCACTCGTCCCCATTCTGTGAAATCATTCACTCTTCTGCAGTTATCTAGAGGGCTGGTGGGAGGAGCGTTGGGTAGATGCTGGCTCCATCACGGTGGATCCAGGGGAGAGCCAACGATGCACTTGTGGGAGGGAGTTTCTCTGCAAGTGTGAGTGTGCGTCTCTCAAGCTTGTAAAGTAGCTGCCCCGTTCCCCACGGGGCTCGCTCATCATGGTGTCGGAGTGGCAGCAGTCACACGTGTTGCGCCTTGTGTGATTCACGAAACAGGCCTAGAGGGATTGGCACGATGCAGATTTTGTAGAGGAGTATGCTGATTCCCAGAAAATTGACTTACTCAAGGCTTCATGCTTACTTAACCGGCAGAACGGGGGTTTGAACCCAGTCTCCATGACTCGAAGCTCTCATTTCATTGCATGGCACTTTCCCCCTTTTCCCCTTTACTAATTTGTTTGTTTTTGGCTTTTGAGTGACACCTGGTTGTTGTGCTCAGGACTTACACCTGGTTCTGTGCTCCGGGATCACTTCTGGCGCAGCTCGGTGGGGCCATATGTGATGTAGGGGATTGAATCCGGGTTTGACTGCACGCAAGACAAAGCGCTGTACTACCTCTGTGACCTGCTTCTTTTTTTTTTTTTTATTCTCCTAGACATTTATGCCTCCATGCCTCCTGCCATCTCCCTTTTTTTCTACTTAAAATTTTCTTTATTTTTTTTTATTAGTGAAGCACCATGAGGTGCAGTTATAGACTTACAAATTTTTGTGCTTGCGTTTCAGTTATACAATGATCGAGTACCCATCCCTCCACCAGTGCCCATTCTCCACCACCACTGATCCTAGTATCCCTCCCACCCCCCATCCCTCCATCCCACCCTGCCTCTGTGGCAGGACATTCCCTTTTGTTCTCTCTCCTTTTGGGTGCTGTGGTTTGCAAAAGAGGCATTGAGTGGCAATCATGTTTGGTCTATATTCTACTTTCAGCATGCTTCTCCTATCCTGGGAGGCTTCTCCTATCCTGGGAGGATCCTCCCAACACCCTTTATTTGGTGCTCCCTTCTCTATCTGAGCTGCCTTTTCCCCTAGCACGTGTGGCTGGCCTCCAAGCCATGGAGCAAAATACCTGGTACTAATCTCAGCCACTCTTGGGTGTTAGTCTCCTATTTTGTTACTTTATGTTTCCCAGATGAATGCAATCTTTCTGTGTCTATCCCTCTCTGACTCATTTCGCTTAACATGATACTTTCCATGTAGTACCACTTGTATGTAAAATTCATGACTTCATCTTTTCTAACAGCTACATAGTACTCCATTGTGTAAATGTACCAAAGTTTCTTTAACCAGTCATCTGTTCTCGGGCACTCAGGTTTTTTCCAGATTCTGGCTGTTGTAAAGAGTGCTGCAATGAACAAACAAGTGCAGATGTGTGACCTGCTTCTTAAGAAAAAAAGTTTTTTATCATGTAAGACCAAAGTGGCCTTCATGACTTAGGTGTTCTGAAAATGAGGATGTGCTGGAGCTTTGGGGGAAATAATCCTGATACAAAGTGAAACCTATCCCTCTTTTTTTTTTTTTTTTTTTTTTTTTACATTTTTTAATTGAATTTCTGTGAGATACATACTGTTACAAAGTCTTTGTGATTGGGTTTCAGTTATACCAGTTATACAATGTTCCAACACCCATCCCTTCAACACGTGTACATTTCCCACCAACAATCTCCCCAGTTCCTCTCTCTCTCTCTCTCTCTCTCTCTCTCTCTCTCTCTCTCTCTCCCCCCCCCCTTCCCCCCTCCCCCCCCCCCACCCCGATTTTGCTATGCTACTACAGTGGCACTCGGTACTGTGTGGCTGATGTTTTTCCCCATCTTTGCTATCTGTTTAGTGGCACTGAAACCCAGTATAAATTTCTCTGTGAAGAGACTGCAAAGGAATGAAGGCCTTGACTTTTGCCTCTCCCCCAAGTGCTGGGCTGACTCTTTGTAAATAGCTTGTGTCTCAAGGCACAAAGTTGGAAGTCCTTGAGTAATCATGATCACTTTCTTTTAGTTTTCCTCACTGATTCCTTGCTGGATTGTTGATGTTTGTTTGGTTTTTGTTCTCTTTTAGGAGTCCTGTTTGCTTTGAAAGTTCTGAACAACCATTACTGCCCTGGAGGCTTTGTCAATGTTTTGGGCTTTCCCGTACCCAACAGATTTGCTTGTTGGGCAGAGCTTGTGGCTATTCACTTCTTCACGCCAGGGTAAGTATTTACTTTTAGAGAATACAAACGAAGAACCTGATGTTCCTTGGAGAAAGAATTGATTGCAGTCATGAAATGAAATTACTTTTTTTTTTTTAATGCAATGAATTGTTTTTACTTTCACTCTAAGGACGGAGTTGAACTTAATAGTTTTTTGCTTGCTTTTAGAATTTATATTAATTTCTTCCTGGGTTCCTCCCCTAGGGATTCTCAGCTTGGTGAGGAGGGACTGATTTTTCAGTGCTCGCGACCTGGCAGCACAATACTTGGGCTCCCTTGGGGTCCCCGAGAGCCATCCTGGCAGTTCCTGGGCTACAAGGAACTCAGGGCCTCACGCAGACAAGGCGCACACTACACCCCTTTGAGTTGCTATTCCTATCCCAAGCTGAAGAGGTTTTTTTTTTTTTTTTAAGTAAAATATTGTTGTTGAAAGTAATTTACTTAATAGAAATGTGAGTGGAGAGAAAAAGAGAGAGATACATATTCAATATTGATCATGGCCTTCTCCAGAAAGGAAATGGCCTTGTTGCCTTTAAATTTGGACATTCATTTATTTGTTTTTATGTTTTGGAATTATTCCCAGCAAGGTTTGGGGCTACACTTGGCTCTGTGCTCAGGGATCACCCCTTCTCTGGGAAACCATATCTGATGCATGGGATCAAACTAGGGCATGGAAGACAAGTGCCTTAACCCCTGTACTAGCCTGAACAGTCAATGTCAGAAATTTCTGAGCCCGAATCTTAACTACAGAGCTGTGTTTTGATTTACTTGTTCTGGCTTATTTTTAGTTTTCTCACCCTGTAAGGCGGAAGGAGAACTCGCTCTTCAGGTTTGAGAATCAATATTAACCATCCTGTCAGTTAATTCTAAAAAGTAATTCAAAAACTCACATAGAAGCCACATGATCATAAAGATCGAAAATATTCATGGAGTTCATTGATTTGGTGTTTTTAGGTTATTGGCGCTATGAATTGTCTTGGTAATAGAAATCTTTAAACGGGCTTAATTCAAAAACCTTCAGCGGACATGGGTATTTGAGTATTAGCATTTATACTGACATACGTTTTTATTTCTCTGGGCTGAATGCCCAATAATATACTTATGTAGTATAAAAACATGTTTTGGTTTTAAAGAAGAAGAAGAACAACAACAAAATTTCAACGTATAAATGTGTGGGAGGGTTTCTTTGTCCAACCCTTGAATAAGTTTGCCCAGCACACTGGTTGGGTTGAAACTACCAGAGGGACTCAGGGAACCTCTTCCCAGCAGGCGGGTGCGTGGAGAACTTTCTGGATGCTTCGTGCTCGTGTCTCTGGCAGGCTCCATGTTATTGATAAAGGGTTCAGTGTTCAGAATGTGGAGGCGGATGTGCTTCCGGTCCCACGTGCAAGGCTTGTAGGTGCCGTCGTTCCCCATCTGCTCGTCCTGGGCTTTCTGAGAACTGTCTTTGGTTGCATGGTACAGCACCTGCCTAGTGGGTGGGAGGGAGAAGCACTTTAAGCATGGAGCCCCAGCAGGCCTGGTCTTGCGGCCCAGCCTTGAGTGCCCGGCCACAGAACCCCAGTGTGAGGACACCTGAACACAGTATGAGGATCACCGATTGTAGGTGAGTCCTTTTTTTTCTTTTTTTTCTTTCTGGGTCACACCCAGAGATGCTCAGGGGTTACTCCTGGTGCTGCATTCAGGAATTAGTCCTGGTGGTTCTCGGGGATCAAATGGGATGCCGGGGATCGAACCCAGGTTGACATTATTATGCAAGGCAAACACCCTACCCACTGTGCTGTCACTCCAGCCCCACTGTGAGTCCTTTCATTGACCAACTTGGGGTGAACGCTGGGCTACTTGGCATCGGTTCTCCTCACTTCTTCCCCGGCGTCTGTACCTTTTTTCTCCCTTTGCATCCTCTTTCCACTGTCTGTTTAGAGAAACAGACTGTGGTGCTTCCTGCCACGGAATCTGTGCAGTCCAGTGAAGACAGCACGTGGTTTGTTGGTTTATTTTCACTGTGGGGACCGAGACACTTAGGAAGGAAACAGGGAAGATTCAAGAAGATTCCAGAGGTGGAGAGAAGGAGACAGGAGAGATTCAAGAAGATTCCGGAGGTGGAGAGAAGGATCTAGCTGTTACTGTTACTGTCTGCTTCGCTTTCTTTCGTTGGTGTGAGTGTTTTGGGCTTGGGGCTTTATTCAGAGGACCCTCCCTGGGCTCCAGTAACTGGGAGCCTTTCTCTAATGCTAATTTCCCATCCATCCAATCCATCCCCCACCAACGCTGCCAGCAGGGCTGGAAAAGGGCTGAGCTTGGCCACTGAGTGCCACTCATTTGCAACTGCATTGTGCGCCCATGACAGGCCCAAGAAGAAAGCCTAACAAAATCTTCAAAGTTGGCTTTGAAAAGGGGCCTGGTAATGTCCCTGCCTTATCTGAGCAGCCTGTCTGGACCTTGTCACTCAGGGCTCCCCCCTCGCTTGATGTGACTTGTGTCTCTGTGCTGATGAGAGCCTGCTCTAGACAGCGGCACCCAACATTCATATGAAAATCACTTCCTCTCCCACTTGAACTCCCATTCTGCACGGAATCCATTGAACAGCAGCAATGCAGGCGACCACTTCTGAAGCCTCTTATCGTGTGCTTTATTTATTTATAATTTTTTTTTTGTAGAGTCCCCGCCTTGACATGGAAAAGGCCTGGTTGCATTTTTATGTAACATGCTTATTCCGAATAAAGGGGCCCAGTATTCTGAACCTGGGAATTAAATGAAAAAAAAAAGTCTTTGAAGTTAGAAATAATAATTTTTTGTGTGTGGGGGGAGGTCTTTTCAGATGTTTTGCACGATACACTTTTCATATCTCTGCCGCCGCTTATGAATGTGTCTGAATAAAGACAAGATCTAAACCCTGGCGAGGAAACCCAAGAAGCCAAGCTTCTGAGGGAATCTCAGAAGAATGGGAGAAATGCGAGCTCCCTTTGTGCTGCATTGTCATTGGCCTGGTGGTTGTCAATTAGAATTTTTCAGTGAGAAAACACTGTAAATCTTCAGAACAAAGTCTGCTTTATTGCCAGAGGTAATGAGCTGCCCTCTGGGGGGAAAAGAACTCTGCTCTAGCAAACATTCACTGGACCTCTGGGTTTTGGGAAAGTCTTGCCATATCCTCTCTGGGGGTGTTTTCAGCAGGGATGAGGCATGGGGGGACTGGGCTTGCCCCATGCAGAGGGCAGGAGTCACAGCTTTGGCTGGTGCTTTTGCTTTTTCAGCCTGAGTTTCTGAGATGGCTGTGCTGGGGTGGGCCTTCCCTTCCTCCTTAGGTCCTGGGACTCTGGTAGGTGACAGGGTTAGAGCAGGTGTCCCTGCTTCCCAGTTGGCACAAGAAGGGGCCCCATCCATATGGCTCCTTGTGGGGACCTTGTCTGGTCCCCTGTTCCCTCCCACCCCCTTCAGTTGGAAGGGGAGGGGGGCTCTGTTGTCACATACTGCTTTCTGGCCTCCAGGTTCTGAACCACTTCGTTTCTCGTGGGCCTTACACTCTCATCTGAGGTCTGAAGCTCGGCGAAGTGACGCTGGCCAGAGTAAGAGCCATGCTGGTGACAGAGGTCAGGTGTGAATGGAGCAGACCCACAGGGCACTGTGGCCTTTCTGAAACTTGCCTTCTCAAAGAGGAAGCCTCAGTTTCCCCATGCCAGCTGCTGTGGGCAGTCCCATTTTTGACTGCCCATACTACATTTTTGACTTCCTGTGAATATTCTTGGGTGCTTTCTGATAAACAGGGGGTTATCAGTGGTCCAACATAAAATTCTGCCCCAGAGTTAGGGCCACAGGGAGACTAATATATGGACAGTGCCTGCGGCACATGGCCAGAAAGACTCAAACCAACTAGACCACTCGTAAACTTTCTGCATTCTCTGTAACGCAAAGACCCAGTTTTTCTATAAAACCCTACAAAATAGGCTGGGGTTAACTTAGTCCTGTGCTAAGTTCTTCCCCACATGTGGAGCTCCCTTTTCTTTCTCTTCTACTTTCCAGTAAGATTTTTCTACTTTGCAACCCTTGAGTCTGAGCATCCTTATCCCTCAATATTTTTCACTCTGGAAAATATTGAATAACCTGGGAATCCCAAAGGAAAAGAGACCCACTCTCACCGCGCCCTCGATCAAATGGGAATGCACATTCCTCCTCTGTGTCATAAGTTAGTTGGAAGGGCTCAAGAGGTTAACCCTTATGAAGAGACTTTATCAACAATGATACACAGAAATCATTATGTTATTTACGTAATTTGCTAAAATGGTTTGAAAAATATTTTTTTGATGCATCGTGATTTACAAGACTGATAATGATTGGGTTTCAGGCATCCACCCTCACTAGAAGGTCAGACTCTCTCCACCATTATCTCTGTGTCTCCTCCCCTGGTAAGCTCATTAACTCATTACTTTTATTGTGGGTAAATTAGGAGAGGGTATAGCATCGATTCTTCGAAAGAGTCAAAGACTTTACTTGTCTCCCACTACTGAGTAAAGTCAAACAGGTGTTATTTTGTTAATGTAATTCTGGAGGGTGTTCCCACTTGCTCTTTTGCCCTTAATTGCTTGACTTTTCTGTTCTGAATGAGAGAGATGCACAGCACCCGAGGGCTCGGCCCAGATACACAGGACACAGGTCAGCACTGAGCCTGGACCCTGCAGATTCTTCACACAGATTGATTGTAGCTGGGAAATGCTGGCTGTGACCTTGATTGCTGCTTCACCGCCAGGATTGGGCGAGAGTTTCAGGACTCAGTTGTCCACAGACTTCTTGGTTAGATGGACCCAATGAGACTGTCATTCAAAACGCACAGGAAAAACCCAGTAGAAATGGGGCGGGGCGGGGGGGGGGGGCTTTGTAGGCAAGTAAACAGCTGAAGTTGGAAAGGCTGTAGAACATTAACCTCAAGAAGGGCAAGTGGGGTGTAGTTGGGGTGACCCAGCTGCGTATGTCGGAGTTTGCAGGACAAATCCTGCATACATATG